GAGAGGGGTAAAAAACACAATGATTCACAGTCCTGGGCACCCACATGCAAAGGCTTCCAAGCTCCTGCCCACCTGCATGCCCAAGTGTCCTCTGACACCCAGGGCGCGGGGCTCACCACTGGGGCTTGGGCACTTGACACAATCGAATTACAGACCAAGAGGTCCCTTAGTCGCTGGTGCTGGGGTTAGGCACAGAAGACTGAGAGCTGTTTGTAATATAATTTTGCAGAGAGAAGTATCTAAAAATGCTGCCCTCAAATTTCTGAATCATTTTGTATTGTCAGGATAAATCGTCCAGGTTCTCCAGCCTTCTAGAAATGTGTTAATGCTCACTTCCTATCTTTGCAAGGAAATATTTAGAAATTGGAGGGACAATTGTGAAAAACTATAAAGGCAGCAGGAAAGCTGCAGACCATGAATGGATGCTGAGTTGTCCCTCAGGTGCGTTCCCCGGAGTGACAGGCGAGCAGGCTGAGAAGGCAGGGGTTTAAGTAGTTTTCTGAGAAAGCTGGTCTCTTCCCCAGGGACAACAGCAGACAGATTTGCATGGCTGCTGAGACTCCTGTCCGTGGGGCAGAAGAGACTGAGCCCTAGAGTCATATGGGCTTCCAGAGGCCCTCAGTTTTATTTAAGCAGTGACCCATTTTCAATGCACATATAGTTTCAAATGTGTCATAAATAAATAAATCATCTGATGATAAGCATCCTTATACTTGTTTTTGAGTGTAGATCGTAGCTTGTTTCCTTCATAAATTTCCTTCAATCAGAATTTGTCAATTTGTGAAAATATAGTTTTCACTTCAAGTTTCGTTTTTAAAGTATGATCAGTTTGCTTTCCTGCCTCTGAGACTTCTCTTTACACAGATCTCCTCACGACTCTCCCTCAATATAAACAAATGCTCACACATTTACTCCTCTGGTGATTGTGGCCTAAGATAATTAAATTTAATTGATTTATTTTTGTGATGCTGAAATTTTTGAATGTATTGGTATGTATTATTTTCTGAACTGTCTGCCCATTCTATTTGCCCTTACTTATTTGGGGTATTGTATTTTATTTTGTTTTACTTGTTTAACCTCCTCTTTGCATATTAAAGTATATGTCTGCTGTATATGTCTCTTGTACTGTTTGCATTTTTTTTTTATTATTTTTTTCATGGCTTTTTATTGTATAGAATTTTTTTTTGCTATGAAGTAAAACATGCCACCATTACTTCTGCAGTTTCTTCTACTGACTCTATGCTTACAAAATTCTCATATAGTTTAAAACATGAAAAATTTTACTTTGATTAGTATTCGCTTGCTTCTTTTTCACTAACTCTAAAGTCTGGGCTTTGGGTGTGAATATGAAACAATGGTTTATTGTATTCTTTATGAAAAACTATGCACTTATCTTAACACCAATTATTAACAAATGGGTTCTTTATCCAATGAATTTCAATGTCAATTATTTTCATATTAAATTTTTACAATTATCAGGGACTCTAGTGTTCCCTACTGATCCTTCTAATTCTTAATACTATGCTTACTGTCTGGATTATTTTAACATATTATTTGTTTTTTATGTGTGTCACAGGTAATGTTTCATTTTTCTTACCTTTCCAAGTGGGTTTATAGACAGTTGCCCATTTATTTAAGGGAGCAGGAGAAACAGCTGGAGGACTTCATTGTCATGTTTCGACAATAGCACAACTGTTTTATAGTTGTTACTGGAATAGCATTAGCTTGTCATTTATTTGAAGTGTATCGACGTCTTCATAGAATGATTCTTCTCACTTAGAAGTACAGTGGACCCTCTGATTTAGTTAGATATTTAGTGAATTCCTTTGTGAAGAGTTATGGCTTGTGTTTAGTGTATGTATGTGTGTGTGTTCTGTGCATTTCTCATTAGATTTATTCCTGTTTTTCTTGTGCTTGTCAGTGTCTGTGTCTGGCAGACCAGGAGGCCTTTAAACAGTTGTTTTTTATCTTGCAGAACAACACAGTGTGTCTACAATCATCACATGCACAGAAATAAGTATTTATTCATCTTTATTCTAAAACAGAGAGATTTATTTTTTGTTTCCATTATTTTCTCTATAATTTCTGAACCTATGCCAGACTGTCTTCATACTTTGAACACAGGCGTTCGTGCCTTGTTTCGACTGCAGCAGTAACGCACAAGTCGTCTTCCTGTGGCTGGTTATCATCTATGGTTGTCTATCAGCAATAACTGCTGGATTTAATTTATTGCAACAATTCCTTGCATTTTCTTTGTGTGTGTAAGTGCGTGCATGCATACGTGTGCATGTGTTTGTGCGTGTGTCTGTGTGTGCATATGCATGCCTGATGCAGAACAGGACAAATCCCCAGAGTGGGGGCAACTCAAGCCCTGCACTGAGAGAGACAGGGGTTCTTGGCTGAGAGCAAGAAAGAATTCAAATGCCTGCTGAAGTCAGAGTCAAAAGAGAAGTGTGTGAGAGAAGGAGTAAGGATACGTGGACAAAGGAGCAAAGACAAAGCAAAGCTGAGGCTGCTGATCAATAAGGAACAGGCCAGGAGATAAATAGACAGAAGCAGGTGACCTGAATTCTATGCTGCTGACAGCAGACTTCAGCCAGTACACAGCTCTGGGACTCTGTTTCCCCACCTCTGCAGGGCTCGTTTTTAAGAACATCAGTAAAGACAAACACATGGCCTTTGTGCCTGGTGGCTTATGTTCTGGGACTCATACCCGGAACCCACCTCAAAAAGTTCTGAACACAGCAATCCAGGAAGCCACTGACAATCACTGAAGTGGGCCCCGGGTCCTGGGTGTCAGCCATTAGCAAGGTCTGTAGGGTCCCCTCCCTGGTACTCACCTCCAGTGTGCAGGGTTCCCCACTTCTTCAGGCATCCCGTGTGGCCCCTGGGGCTTGTCAGGCCCTTGGTGGTTCTTGCAAGACCGGCAGCTCCCTGTCCTGCCACATTCCCCAGTGCACCTGCACTCCTTGCTACACACGACTATGATTTTTGTTTGTTTGTTCATCAGCATATCATGCCTTTGTGACATTCTGAATAGAATAAAAACCAAAACTTAAAACGTTGGTCATATTCTTCTTCAAGCTGCTGAAAAGGCCGGTGCATGCCTCAGTTATTGCCAGTTTATTCTTTCTCAGAGTGGGAACCTATACTTGTGGGACTATCCCAGATTCACACATGGAAAAGCTGAGGCCCAGGCAGCATAGCAACTCAGTGACAGAACCCATGAGTAAGCTGCAGCTCCGAAGCCAAGAATTGGCGTCACCAATTAATTCTTCCATGCGCGAATGTCACCAGTCTTCTTGCTGGTTTCCACCCAAAGAAGCGCCGGCAGGGTCTTCAGACGTTTTCTGTGGGCTCTGCGCTGACGAGTCCCGGGGACAGAATGCCCAACGGACGGACGGTGCAGGAGCGGGGAGGCGGGGCAGGGGACCGCTGGCTCCACAACCCTGGTCGCTCAGCGGGTCCCTGGGCCTGTGAGCACTGCAACCTTTCGCGTGAGTGGAATGCTTGTGAGCGATGGGCCATCCCCTGGAGAGAGGGCCATGGCACTCACGGAGGGGTCCCCAGCTAGAGCAGCCTGCTACCTGCTGGGGGGGAATACCGGTGACAGACGCACACACCACTTGCTCAGTCACAGAGGCAGTGGTCAGCCTGCTTCCACGGCCAGTGGATGTGGGCGCCAGCAAAACACGCCGCGGCCACTCACTTCCCAACCCGCCGGCGATGCAGGCGAGACGCTGAGATTCTCTGGGTTTCACCTTCTCAAAAAGAAGCTACACTAAGTTATTTCCCGATAATTCTTCAAACGTCAAAAGAGAAGCTGGTTATTTCCTTCCCATTATCTGTTATGCGGTGCAAGCCCAGTGCTGCAGTGAAGGGAAAGTGTGCTGTCCACTATCTCCCTGGGAGAAAAGGTAGATAGAAACTTCCTTACCACCAGGCTTGCTAGAGAAGGACCCAGATGTAATAGCAAGGAATTGGAGAGGAAGCTGAAAGTTACTTGCTTTTTCCAAGAATATACATTAAGTCATTTCAACCTGCAGTAACACTACTACTGATTATAATGAAAATGAGTGAAGCTAAAAAAAAGAAGCTGAGAAGTAAGTATTGAATTTTGAGTGAATAGACAACTTCTTCCCCACCTGCCTGTCCCAGCATCTTGGGATATAATGATACTTGCCATGTAACACACATAACATCATGGAGTCCTTGTTCCATAGAGGACCAGCCTTTGTGTTTCTGCACACACGATTCATTTTTTCCAGCTCAAAATGTACACAAAAGAGAAATGTTTTCAGTCACAACACAAAGTGGACTTTCTAAATCCTGGTGTGAGTCTATGAAGGGGCTCCCTTTGAAGTTTTATGATACTCTAGGCTCTTTCAAATGCCTGCACACTTAGTCATTCCATAAACTCCATCAATGGGTCATTTAAATCAGGGGTCCTCAGCACCTGGGCTGCAGACCAGTACCGGTCCATGGTCTTTTAGGAACTGGGCCTCACAGTACAGGTAAGTTAGCGAAACTTCATCTGTATTTGCAGCCACTCCCCAGCGCTAGCATCACCGCCTCAGCTCCACCTCAGATCATCAGGCATTAGATTCTCATAGGAACATTGGTCCCTGGTGCCAAAAAAGGATGAGGACTGCTGGTTTTAAAAAAAATGTAACAAAAATCACCAGTTCTCATGTGCCCACTGAAGGTGGGAAGAGTGTGTAATGTTAACCAGACATTTGGGGCATTTGCACACAAATCACCATCCCAGAAGAGCTGGGCTGGATGATGCCAGTGGGGTTCGCACCACTGCCGCCCACTGCACTCCAGCATTGTCCCTGTGTGAATATCACACTGGCTTCACATTTGACAAAGGTACTGCTGGTGGACCTTTGGAGATAACTGATATTGGCATTTGCCGTAAGTGTTATCCATATTATCCATGACTTAACCCCAAGTAACAGCATCATACAGCCCTGGGCAGGTGTGGAGCATTGAGACTGTCAAGATTCTTCCGTTGTCACAGTACAGGCCCCTCTACAGCTTGCCAGAACCCTCTTAAAGGCCCCAGTCACATCTCTGTTCCTCAGGCTATAGATGAGAGGGTTCAATAAGGGGGTGAGGATGGTATAGAAAGCAGAGAAGATCTTGTCTTTGATCGGGGTGTGGTAGGATTGGGGAAGCATATATGTGTATAGGGCAGCCCCGTAGAATAATGTCACCACCATCATGTGTGATGAGCAGGTGGCAAAGGCCTTCTTCTTCCCTTCCACGGACTTCATCTGGTGCACCGTGATAAGAATGCGGCTGTAGGAAGCGGTCACCACAGAGAAGGGGACCAGAAGCATCATGACACAGCACATGTACATCACCATTTCATAGGTGGCTTTGTCGCCACAGGCCAGCCTCAGCATGGTGGGTGCCTCACAGAAGAAGTGATTGATCTTGTGTGAAGCACAGAACGGGAGAGTCATGGTGATGGGGGTGAGGAGGAAGCTGTCCAAAGCACCACCGAACCAAGAGCTGGCCAAGATCAGCCAACAGACCCGGCGGCTCATGAGGACAGGGTATCTCAGAGGGTGGCAGATGGCCACATAGCGGTCATAGGCCATGAGCCCAAGCAGGAAGAATTCAGCCCCCACAAAGCCCATGTAGAGAAAGTACTGGGCTGTGCAGGCGGTGAAGGAGATGGTGCCCTGGCCCATTAGGTAGTCGACCAGCATCTTGGGCACAATGGTGGAGATGTACATCATGTCAATGAGGGAGAGGTGGCTGAGCAGGAAGTACATGGGGGTGTGCAGGCGCATATCCACGTGCGTCAGGAGGATCATGGCCCCGTTGGCCATCATGGCCATGAAGAAGATGACACAAAGGACACCGAAAAGGAAGCCTGAGGCTCTATAATGAATGAGAAGCCCTGTGAGGGTGAAGTCACTGTAGGAGGTCATGTTGTTGCCATCCATGGCATCGAGTCAGACCTGGAGTGTTAAGAAGAGAAGTGTGGTGTTAATGAAAACCACAGTTGGTAAAATGAACCATTTAGAAATATCCATATGAGCATTATTAAATTAAAGTTATTTATATAACTAATATCAAACACATTGTGTGTGTGTGTGTGTGTGTGTGCGCATGTGTGTGTGTGTGTGTGTGTGTGTGTGTGTGTTGGGAGGTGAATGTGCAGCTTCTTCTTTCATGGCTACGTCTCCTTGTTGAATAGTTTTCCAGGGTTAGGTCCCTGTGGCATGGGGACAAGGGACCTTTGTCAACTGCTGCTTGGTTTAAGAGAATCTAATTACTATTGTAGAGTATATGTGCCCCAGCAAGGATTTTCACCTACAGTGGCTTCATTTATTTGAAATGTATATACAACTGCAAAATAGTGGTTTTAATCATTTCAAATAACTAAAAAAATCCAATAAGGTGTTTTATTGACTTGAGAATTTTTATGACAATTTTATTATTATTCTTTTAAATTTTATTTGATTATTAGTTTCAAGTATACAGCACATTAGTTAGACATTTATATAGTTTATAAATGATCTCCCTGATTGCTCTTTCTCTCTTCTGGCTCTCCACCTAGTCTTTACATTGATGATAACTGCATTCCCTATGCTGTGCTCCCCATGCCTGTGACCATCTATCAACTACTAATTTGTACTTCTTTAACCCTTCACCTCTTTAAAACTGACCATCTTCACCTAGAAATAACCATTAAGTTGTAGTACAGTCGAAAACAAAAATGGACTGCAGTGAGTTGGATCACATCGTCCATCTGATCACTCTTATTTGTTTCTTCACGCATTTGATTTCTCATTCATTTACTCAGCAACCCTTATGTAGGGAGCTACAGTGCCTTGTCCTACGCTCATGGGAAACTCAGGACGTGGAAGAGGAAACGTCTCGTGTGACTGACGGCTCCAGCTGTGGGAGAAAGGGAGTAAAGAAATAAAGGACGATGGTGGTTATGGACAATGTTAATAAGTACAATGAGAATGGACAATGATGAGCGATAGAAGAGCAGTCATGTGCATATTTGGGGAGGATGTTCCTATAGAATGAAGAGCAAATTTGAGATCCCGGAGGCAGGAAGGAGCTTGTTATCCCTAGGACAGTCAGGCAGAGTGTTATAATGAGGCAAGCAATGAGGTGTCAGAGGCCAGATTTTAAGACTAAAGTAAGAAAGTGAAAATTATTTTCTAAATATTACCAGTATGATTGAAGTGCATTTGAGAATTTGTAACAGTTTCTTTAACATTTAAACCTGTGTTTCTTCTGATTCTTTTTTTTTAGTTAACTTTTTGTGCATTTGAACCAATGATTCCCTGCATCCCCCCCCTTCCCAGATTCTGCATTTTTGTGGTTTTGAAAGCTTTATAAAAGGGGAAGCTCCATCCTGGTTAGTCCAAGATGGTCCTGTCTCACTGTCACATCTGGTGTAGCGTGTGTCCCACCTCCTTTTGCTCTCTAGAGTGTCCTGATTTGGTCAGTCATGAGCAGTGGCTTTGGTACCTGAATGAAGTGTCTGACAGACCCAGGAGGGAGGTCAGAGGGCAGCAGGAAACTCTGCAAGTCTTCAGACAGCACAGGGAGCCCACACTATGGGTACTGCATTTGCAGACTGAATGTACGATGAAAAGAAGAGAACCAAAAATATCCTCATTAGTTTTGCTGTTCTACAAAAGCCAAATATAATTTTTAATTGCTTGGACACACTATTGCCACTGCATACACTGAGCTGTTGCACCATAGTGCACAGATTAGCAGTCAGCTTCCTGGCCTATGAATAGCATTTTGAAGTAGGGTGTCCTGTGGTGCCAGTTCTCTGAACTATAATTGAGGATGTCAACATGGCAAATTGTAGGCCTAATTCAGGCAACTGAGAAATATGAAGACTTAAGGGAAAATGCAAAATAACTATATATCTAACCCTTCCTCTTCTAATTTTTTCTGGTCTTTCCACAAATTCAAAACAATAGTATGGTCTTGCTTGCCAGTTTGAGAAGTTGAATGGGCTGGGTGCTGTGAGGGAGAGGGTAGTGGTTTATTTGGTCTCTGTTATCCACAGTGGGGTCCCCTGCAGAATGGGGCGCCACCTTGCCTAGTGAGTGTCCAGTGATGACCTGTATAATCGGAAGGGGCCCTGAGCAGAGCCAAGGGAGCAAGGAATTGCCATGACACTAGAGCTCTTCAGGAGAAGGTACACATGCCCTTAGGTTAATCACTGCTTCTGGAAGAGAAAGAGGGATCACCATGACAATTACAGGTATGGTGTCAGGGTGAAAAGTTACAGGAGCAGAAAAGAACAGTGCTGATGATGTGAGCCTGTATCACAGTATAGAGAACAGAGCGAAAGTAAGTCATTCTCTGGGAATGTAGGACAGAGATTAAGAGATAAAGCCATAGAGAGGAGCAACGACGCTCCAGCAGCAAGCTATAAACAATCGGTGGCTTTTAAAAGAGTAATTCCACGAATGTAAGAGAATTATTCAGTAACAAATTGAAGAGAGGAAACCATTTGTGAAAGGTACAAAAAGCTATCTATGGATAAGTTTCATTTAATAAAATGTATGTCTTTGCAAATTATTTGAACTACGAGCAATATGAAGGGAAGGGAAGGAGATGGGAAGGAAGACAGAAAGATAGAAGGAGAGCGTGAAGAAGAGACAATGCCTAGAAGTATGCAGATGGAACAAATAAAAGGGAAAACAATTGCCTGTAACAGAATAAAATTCAGACTGGCCACCAATGTCTTTTTGATATTGATAAAATCCAAATAAAAGCGAATAGATATCTAGAACAGAAGATATATATTGTTGGAGTTCAAAGTAAGGATCCAGAGACAGAATTTTCCTGTTTTTGAAACTTTTTTCAGCACCTAAATGTGCGAGCACAGGCAATTTACTTAACTCCTTTCTGCCTCAGTTTCCCCATCTGCTGTTATGACAGAAATGACACAGGTTGCAAGTACTACATTAGTTAGTGCACATTCACTTCTTAGACCAGTAACTAGAATGTGTAAAATGTTTATTAAAAGTGATATTCAATATTATTAGATGCATTTCAGTTGTCAGTGATAAGCGGATCAAACAGGGAGACTTTCTGAGACACATTATGGGGAGTAAACACTAAGACACAGCCCAATATTTGTGCGAATGAAGCAAAATTGAGAATTAAAAATAGAGAGGAAACCATATAATGCTACTAATAGTGAACACTAAATTCAGTTTAAAATGATATGTTTTTAAAAGAATGTGAATATGATTTCAAAATTGCATAAAATTCAAAATAATTATTAACAACAAAAACACATAACAAGGTCTAAAAATGTCATTCAAATAATCTACATAAAACTAGATCCTACTTATATAGAATGAAAAATCAAAGTATCAGAAAATAGCTTGCATTAGTTCATTCATTTATTCATTTAACTGTTTATTACAATCCTTTTGGTCTAGAAGCTAAACATGTATCAACAGTGTCCCCTCTCTCTTGGAGCATATATTCTAGTGGAAGGGATCAAAGATAAGTAAATAAATATACAATTATTAAGAATCTGCAAACTGATACAACAGCTATGGAAAACAGTATAGAGATTCTTTGAAAAACTAAAAATGGTTGTATTATACAACTCAGCAATTCCACTTCTGGGAATTTATCCAAAGAAAACAAATAGATAGTGACAGAATGAAATTTAACTTTGGTGAACACACAATGTAATACACATATGATGTATTATTGAACTGTACACTTAAAATCTGTATAATTTTATTAACCAATGTCACCCCAATAAACTTAATTAAAAATTTTTTAAAACAGAAAAAAAGGAAAACACTAATTTGAAAAAATTTATGCACCCCTATGTTTATTGCAGAATTATGTACAACAGCCAAGATCTGGAAACAACCTAAGTGCCCATCAAGAGAAGATCTCTCTCTCTCTCTCTCTCAGTCTCTCTGTCTCTCTCTCTCTCTATTCACTATATTGTATATTTGAAACTAATATAACCAGTATAAGTTTGTATACCAACTATACTTAAATTTTAAAGAGTATAACATTTCCTCTCAATAAAAGAGCCAGAAAAGATCGAGTTTTCACTTTTGAATGAAACAGGGAACTATGAGGATAAGAGCAATTCTAAAAAGCACTAATAAAATTAATGCTAGTATTAAAATGAGATGCAAGACTGTGTATGTGCTCTAAAACACTGAAAAATATGGAAGAAAAATGCATAATAAAACAGTGCAGAAGGTTCAAAAAAGCATACAACGAGATTAGATAGAAAACAACTATGTTAATTTAGTAAAAATCATTACAGGGAAAAACATCCCCTTTAAAAGGTTCAACTTTAAGATTGCAGATCAGAAAAGGTACAAAATGGAAAAGATAGACTTAACTGATTAAAAAAAAAAGAGCGAGTTGCATAAATATATATAGAATGTAACTTAAGGCAATCTTACAAATGGAGCAAATACGATAATTCTGTCATTCAAATTTTAAATCGAAATCTTTTATGTGCTTAATTTATTCAGTTTCCAAAGGACAATTTTTTAAAATAAAATACATTAGAACAATATATAATAATAAGAACAGGCTTACATCTAATTCAGAGCATTTGAAATAATTAAACACATACCTAACATACTGCTCAAGCCAAAAAGAAGATCCAAGGTGCTTTCAACAAGATAGACTGGGCAGCATGGGGAACATCGCCAACAACATTATAATGACCATGAAAGTATCAGGGGGGGACTAGACTGACCAGGGGAATCACTCTGTAAGATATGTAAATGCCCAATCACGATGTCGTACACCTGAAACTAATACTGTATGTCAACTATAACTGAAAAATAAAATTAAAGTAAAAATTAAAAAGTAGACTATGTACGGAAGCTCAGAGAAAATTTTATAGCACTTGATCGTGCATTTTTATATCAAAATATGTCGTGTAAATATAGATTTAACC